CAACGCGCCAATGGTTCAAAGTGAGTGGTGTGTCGGGCAGGTGTGGTGAGGAAGGAGCTGGAAACCTGAAGGGAACGTTCTGCTGCTTGAGAATGCTCGGGAAGGAGGTCATGAAGTCGCGGTCAGAGAAGAGCACGATGGACACCTTCTCCAGCTGCGACGCAGGGTGGTTGGCCCACTTCTTGTGCGCCTTCAAGATCGCCTCATAGATGCCCTGCTTGCTGTTCCCGAAAACGCCGCCTGTACAAACGAGCGCACTGTAAGCTCATCACCGCACACGCCGCACACGCCACACACACAAACACACACACAACACTGCGAGCAGTTTGGAGAGGCGGTACGTACCGCCGATCAAGGTGAGGACCAGGTGCTTTCGCTTGTGCTTGATAGCCGAGAGATAGGTGGCCTCGTAGTCGGAGTCGAGGATGAACTGGCACTTTTCCTGCGAGTGGGACACCCGCTTGTTGGTCATGCCGGACATGCCCTGCCCGATGTTCAACGCCGCGCAGAAGACCTGGTCGACCACCTGCTTCGGGTCGTCCACCACGTCGAAGCCACGGTGTCGGTGCCCAGTCGTAACCTGTCATACCACACGACACAAACGACACACACGACACACCAAGTAAGAGAAGCTTGTCAGAGCAATACGACGCCATCATGGTGGACATACCTGGACGTTGTGGTGGTAGCCAACCAGCACCTTGCCGAAGAGTCGATCGTACTTGGCGGAGCCGACCTTGGGGAAGGACGGTTCCCTGCCCGTGAGCACCACGTAGCCGTTGTGCGTCGGGAAGTGCTTTCGGAGGTCGGCCAGAAAGTTGACCTGTACGATCGAATCGACCAAGCCAGCCACATTGTGCACATTCATGTTAACGCGCGCCTTGCTTACGGCCACCGATGGGAAACGACGCGTACCTGGCGGGTTGCGGTCTGCGTCCACTCGCCCTGCGGCTTGGTGGGGTCGTAGAACGCGGCGTGGACTCGCGTGATCGCGGCTGTCACGTTCCAGAGACACGTTAGTCGATGAAGGTTCTTCTTTCTTGCTCGCTCTGGGGGAGAGGAGAAACGCGAACGAGAGGAAACAGGACGCACCG